GCAACTAATTGTGGTAATATCTCCTGTCGCTTTTCAAGGAAAATAAAAAGTTAATTTACTTTCTGAACTGAAAACTATCTAGAGTCCACTCTCACTTCATTGAAAACATATCAACAATTTCATTTCAAAAACTACAGACTAATATAAATTATCAAAATATCATCAACTTGACACTACACATATAATAAAAGTTAGACTTCTACCTGTCTTTCACTTGTGAAGACCTGGGATAAGGGCTTCTGATCTTTTCAAAAGTCAATTTTCATCTTTCATTTGATGATTAAAATTATATTAATGATACAGTGGTTTAAATTATATTAATGACTTAGAGCCAGGTGTGGTGGCACATACCTATAATCCCAACACTCAAAGAGACTGAGGCAGGAGGAACATTGAGTTTGAGGCTAGCCTGACCAAAATAGTGAATTCAAGGCTAGCCTGGCTTACACAGCAAGATCAAGCCTCAACTTCCCCAAAATTATATTAATGATTTAAAAGACAAGGTAAATCAATTTGATATATCAAATTTTTATTACAGAAAATTTTAATAAAAGGCATATTGAGATTTTGCTTTATGGCACAAATTTTCTATTGTAGCAACAAGGAAAAAAGCCTCCTTCTCAAATTCAAGAATGATTTTTTTTATTTTAATTAAAAGAAGCATTTCATTACAACAGCATTAACCTATTCAATAACATTTTTCTGAGCTAGGGTACATCTCTTTCAAAATTGGCTGTACATTTCTAGGTTTACAGATGAATTATTACGCTTATATAATCTTTTACTCATTATAAACTCTATAAGACATAAAATTAAATGAGGTTCCAACGTTTAAAAAAGATCTCCACTGCGTTGTCAAAACACACAGTTTCATACAGAAAAATTCATTTCAGGGCTCTTGACATTGAGACGTTTTCACATGCATTTCTAATCTCTATATACATGACTATCACTGGTCACAGTCACCCACCTTCTGAGCTCCTCGGCATCTGAGCATGAATACAAACTCATCAGGTAGACAGCCTTCCTCTCCCACTAGAGCCTCCATACTCTGCTATCCCTGCCACTGTCCACTGTGCTGTCAGCACCCCCATCCATTTTTAAAAATACTAAAAGAAAGAGAAGTTCCCTCCAGTTTGAAGACCCTATTTATCACTAGGAAATGAAGAGGAGGTTTCCACAAGGAGTCAGGCAAAAATAGTGAGGCGACCTCTCATCTCACATTGGGATTTACCTTCATCCTTTTTACGGCACAAACAGAAACGCAGCCCAAAGATAGAAATCCACCCTAAGCCATATTTAATCATAATATTAATTTCATAGAACATACATCATGCATTGTGGGTGACACAGTTAAGTGAAATAGGGGAATTAGAAAACAAAGCACAGCACTTCTACTTCCATAATAATCAGAATGCACAAAAGGGACAACAGACGAGCAAGCAGGAATGACTGAGGGTTAGCAAGGAATCAACACAAGCAAACATAAAAGATTTCAGAACACACAGAAGTCCTAGGCCTGCAGATCACAGGGAAGAAATATTCCGTCAAATGGCATGTCAGTTGTTGTACTATGCTGCTTTGCAAAGTTGTTCTAAATGAAGGTACTTAAAAGCAGTTTGTGTTGGTTTAAACAGGGTCTCAGGTATACCAGGCTGGCCTGTTATGTAGAAAAGAATGACCTTGAACTGATCCTCCTGCCCTTCAATCCAAGTGCTGGGGTTACAGGCAGAGGCCACCACACCCAGCTCTGAAAGTTTTTATGGTCTCAGGAAAGGAGGAGTTTCTAGATATGGAGAGAGACTATCATATACTGACAAGCTTAGGTTGGAGGTCTATGTAATCTATGCGAATTGAAATCTAAAATTGTTCACTTGGCCACTCTTTAAACATTTAGCCTTGATGATATGTCATATATATTATTGTGGAACTAAAGGGAAAGAATAATTAGAAATGAATGAATAGCTCATTTACAGTCACAAACCAGGAAAGAAAATGGGAACATCTACAACACGATTAGAGTTTAACTCAAGGACAGTCCATCAGCAGGGTCCAGCAAGCTTTCAAAGTCAAACTTCCAACTCCAGATGATCTACTAAATTTTGATAGTTACACATTAAAAGAAAATGCTCTATACATTCTATTTCCATTAACAAAATTTTACCCCTTACACTACACAATACTTCAATAACTCAAAATAAATAAAAAGTTCAGGCTTTCCTTGGTGATTCTGGAGATAATCCAGGAATATGTCATAAATAATACTTTCACTGACTGGTAAATGAGTACCAAAAAATTTCGCAGCTGAAGGATACTGAATTACAGTTTACTTCCATGCACTGAAAGTGAATGAAGTCTACCATGTACTATAGGAACTTAGACGGGATCTTCAGACAGAGAAATGACATTAGTAAAACACTGAATAAATACAAATTAATCCGTAGCTACTTTACAGTATTGTACAATCAGTCTGCTATAATGATTTTAAGATGTAAATTCATTTCAATAAATTGATGGACTACCAAACAGCTTACAGATAACATAAATTTCACATTGCTGATGCACAATTTTTCTCTGTGGAAAGCTTCAGGCATGACCAGCTTTTTGAGAGTGTGACACAATGCTGTCATCTACAAAGTTCTTGCTAAAGAAATGTGCTTTCAAGTCTCTTCCCCTCAAAAGAAAAACTTCATGTTTTAAGTTAAGTTTACAATTTGTGTTGGGCTTTCTCTGTGGAAAGCTTCAGGCATGTCCAGCTTTTTGAGAGTGTGACACAATGCTGTCATCTACAAAGTTCTTGCTAAAGAAATGTGCTTTCAAGTCTCTTCCCCTCAAAAGAAAAACTTCATGTTTTAAGTTAAGTTTACAATTTGTGTTGGGCCACATTCATAGCCATACTGGGGTACATGAGGGCCATGGGGTAGAACCAGCTGCGGCTGGATGAACACACAAAACCACAGACAAAGCAAGCCACATTCCACTTCTATCGTACTCATCACCTACCAGCTTTCTGTGCTCACCAAGCACACTGAAAGCCATTCCAACCACACCTGGAGTTTCAAGTTTCCATCAGAGTTCTGTCATCCTCCTTCTGCTTCCCTAGAAATTAAAAACTGCAAGGATCTTTCTCGGTGTTTTATCCAAGTGTCATGCTTTAGTATTACATAGGTGTTTATCAGGTGACACACAGAAAACCATGTTACAAGTTTTATTAGGTTTCTAATTTTTATCAGTGTTCCAAGTGTCAAGAACTTCACTTCTTCAGCATGCCCTGCAGTTTCTCTGAATGATTCTGTACTGCACAGATCTTTAGTAATGTACATGTCACAACAGGGCAGAGTTGGGCACTCAATGATGACTTCTTATTTTGACAAATGTGCTGCACTTATATGAGAAGAAATAGGAATCTAGATCAACAGAACACAGGAATTCTCTATTTCCCTTACAACTTTTCTGAAAATATAAAATTATTCCAATAAAACGTTTGAGAACCAAATCTTAGTAGGGTCTCCGTATTAGTAACTGCTAACAGCTGGCACTCCAGCAGCACTTGCTTGATGCCAGGCCCTGCTCTCAGTGGATTATTTATGCACATTAGTCATTCTCTAGCTCATTCTCACAACAGGATGAACTAAGTGCTATAATCACACCCATGTTACAAGTGAGAAGAGGGAAGTGCAGCTAAGAAGATAAACCCAAATTGTGAATGTAGGCCAGTGGAGAACCAGGACTCTCACCCTCATGCCACATTATTTCAGACATTACAGACAACTAAGCTTTTCACAATCGTCTTCTGGAAAGATTTTACGTACAGAAGGGAGGCTAAGATAAAGAAATTTAGTCATTCTAAAATGTGCTGTAAATACCAAATATTATGAAAAAAAATCTCCTTTGTGTACAGAGTATCTCTATTAAATAAATGAGGATGCTAACAAAGACAGTAAGGAATGTCACCTTTGCACTTTCAAAGGTAAATATAAAGTAAATATTTCATAATAGTGACAAACTAATAATAGGCAGCTGATAAAATGATGCATCACCTGTGACAAAGAAAATCTAATTTCAAAGCTTTACAACACTTGGTCACATTTCTGCAGCTAATGGCCTATCCATCTTCAATCTATTCACTGAGGCAAATATATCCCTGTGTCATTTTTAAGAGGAATTATTCTGGCCATGTGACAGTGCTGGCCTGTAATGGTGGCACTAAGGAGCCTTAGAAGCAGGAAGTCACTCAAGCTGGAGGCATCCTGGCCTACATGATAAGTTCCAGGCCAGGTAGAGCTCCTTAGGGAGACTCTGTTTGAAAAACAAAGGAAAAATAAAAATTAAAAAATATTTTGGGTTCTAGGAGATCATGAAGGAGTAATATTGGGTGTGTCTGAACTGGCTTAGGGTCTACATCTTGTGCTACAACCCATAATCAAATAGCTATAATGCGGAATAGAAAACATTAGTCTGGCTAATAGTTTTCCCCTTTGTGCTTCTGGGATTTCAATCAGAGAAAAGGCTGTGGAGCAATGCAGGATGAATACACTGCTGGGTCCTAAAATAGGATGAGAACTTTAATTCAACTTTTAAAAGAGACAACTAATTCAAGTAGACACTGTTAATCTAAAAACTGTTCTTAGTCAGAAAACAATTTCAACTTAAGGTGATCCTATACTGTTAAACACATTTTTGCTCATTTAAAAACTATGTTGAAAATAATGTTTTTTTCATTACAACAGCATTGACAAATTCAATAACAATTTCCTGAGCTAAGATGCATCTCTTTCAAAATTGGCTGTAAATTTTTAGGTTTACAGTTGAATTATTACAGTTATACAATACTGTACTCAGTATAAACCCTATAAGAAAATAATTTTATTACCAGGAGTTTGAAATTTAAGGTGTTCACAATTAACAAAAAAATTATTTCAGATGTATATAATTAAACTTATAATTATGATAACATATAAAATTTATAAACTATACATATATAAAATAGAGTAACATACCAAGCTTCAGGCAGCAGAACAGAATATTCATATGGAGAAGTGGTTTCTGGGAAGTTGGAGAGAATTGCAAGGCGGTGGGGAAGAAGGTCGGAGCCGTGGTAAGTCAGTAGAATTTCTAGGGCTTGTACATTACTTTCCTGTATGAAATGCAAGGGACAAATGTCTACAATGAACCTCAGGAATAAAATACTGAATCTATAAGAACACTTAAACACTGAACGTTAAATCTGGGATGCAGCTCTCACACAGCTGCTCTGAAATGACTCTCAATTCTTCCTTACCTGCATCATGTTTCTCAATCTACTACAAAATTGCTTTAAAACTCTAAACAACAGATATTTATTAAACATAACTCCATTTTCTCTACACTTATTAATATTTAAAGAGGAAAGAGAGTGTAATGGTATATGCATGCAATAACATTAACTACACAACTCAAAGATTTAGTGTTAATAACCATTAATTATTCTAGTTACAAAAAAGCAATTACCCGAGCATAAGTTCTTGCTGAGAGGACAATATTCTGGCTTCTGAACTTCTTAAAGAATTCAGCATCGTATCTCTGTTCAGACGCATGAGGCACCCCTAGGATTTCCTGAGGGGAAACAGTGATTTAATGAATAGGCTTTCTAAATACGGGTGACAAGAAAATACTGAAAACCTTTACAACTGTGCCTGCCTAAATAAATAAGGCCTGAATTAGTTTATTTCAGCTATCAGCCACTAACATACTTTAGTCTTTTATAGTACTTTCCTTTACTTTCAAAGAGGCTATATTTAATTATAAGTATTATTAAATTTTAGATTCATAAGTAAATGAAATAATGAAAATTAAATTGATTACAGTAAGAGAACCAAAACCCACCTAATAACAACAGAGCAGCAACAGTTATGCACAGCTGGTGTATTATGACCACTGACCATCTTCACAGGAGAATGGAACATGAATTTTCCTACTGCTAGAATAAGCAATGTTAAATGCAATTGAACCTTTCATTAATTTAACAAACACTGAGTGTCCACTATGTCCCTGGGCACTGTGAGAGGTACCGGTGATACAATAAACAATATGCCTCCCTGCCCTTCAACTAATTTAAAATCTAGTAGGAAATGAACCAACTTTATCGTAAATGTTTTCTTTATTATTTTTATTTTACGTTTATGAGCGTATTGCCTGCATGTCTCTAAGTACACCCATGTCATGCACTGCCCACAGAAGTCGGAAGAGGATGTCTGATCCCCTGGAACTGGAGTTATGGACGGCTCCTAGCCACCATGTGGGTACTGGGAACTGAATCCAGGTCCTCTGTAAAAGCAGGCAGTGCTCTTAACCACTGAGCCATCTCTCCAGCACCAACTTTATCTTTTAAAATAGCAAGTGAAAGGCTCCAGAGGACTCTAAACATGAAATAGGCATCAGATAATATGAGGGAATTACTATTAATTTTGCTGCAAATAATGACATTCTTATTTTAAAGTCCTTATCAGTTAGAGATATTGACATACTTATGGGAAAAATAGTAAGATTTCTGATATTTGCATTAAAATACTTAAAAGAAAAGGCAGGTGTAAGGAGACAGCAAAGGACATAAGACTTGACACAAACATGAAAATACTTAAGGTAGTAGAGTTCCTCCTACTTCTATGAAACTTGGATGTTTTATTATGAAAAGCTAAAAATCCCTGACTTAAGACCACAATATTCAGATGGGTACCCAGTACTGTTCCTAGGCAGTAGTACACTATGCTTTTCTAGTCTCTGCTACAAACCTCCTCACAATGCTTTGATTTTCTATACCTCCAACACCCTATCCTCCACCCACCATTCCCAGCAGAAAACATTCTTTTTTAAGCTGATACTATTAAGATGGGAAGTCCCTCCACTTCCAACTCACCAAACCTTCAAGTCCACCTGCACCAGTAGAGTCTCCCTTCCTCCCACTAAGGCTGAAAGAAACACATCTTTGTACACTCAAAGTCACAAGCTCCATTCATGCTCTGGACTCCATTTCAACCCCACTTCTGTACACATGTAAGTATGCCCTTTTTCTTCTTTTTCTTCTACTCAATAAATTTCTCATCATCAGCTCATTCCCATTATTCCTTCCTCCCTCTATTACAAAAACAACCAAGCAAGCATACAGTCTCAAGTGCACAACATCTTCCTCCAGGGCCCTAGGTCTTTATCTGGCACTGATTATCAACACAGACTTCTAATCAGAGCAGAGAGATTTGCTTTTAAGTTTTTGCTTCCCATTGATTTGGATAAGCTGCTTGCCTTCTCCAACCCTCAATTTCATATCTGTAAAATGAGGATAGCAATAACAGCCTCAGTGATTGCTGGGAAATAATCTGGACTAAGTACATGAGACAATGGCTGACAGACCATGGGGGGGTATTGTTTAAAGTATTCCCTGTACCCACTGATTCCTTCAACAACTGAGATCTACAATGAGTCAGATACCACTCTAAGGTTATGAAAAACCCAGAAAGACAATGAAATTCTACTCTCATGTCTCCCTTATATTTCCCATCGCTTAAAATCTGCCTTTGCTTTTTTAAAATATTTTATTTTTATGTGTATGCGTGTATTTCCTGCATGTACGTAGGTGCACATATGTCATGCAGTGCCCACAGAGGTCAGAAGAGGGTGTCAGATCCATCCCCCTGGAACTGGAATTATGGACAATTGTTTAAGGCCATGTGGGTGCTAGAAATCAAACTTAGGTCCTCTGGAAGAGCAGACAGTGCTCTTAACTGCTAAATGATCTCTCCAGTCCCTGCCTTTGCTTTTTTAAGAATCAGTTGAAAATAACTTCCTCTATAGAGTCCCTGAAGGCATCTCCAGGAAGAATTTAGTGTTTACTATACTTCCTTGTTGATTCCTTACACCTTTCATCATCATTCAAGGTCTGCATACTGAGGACTCCATGAAAACTGGAGTCCATGAAATTCTATACAACTCCCTACCTCCAGCAATGGCATCAAAAATGGCATGTGGGAAACAACCAGGTAAATTGTAAATGAATTGATTTTTTATCTTACTTACATGGAATTAATATTAGCCATGCCCCATGATGAAATCACAATGCCTTTCTCTACCCCTTATATAACTGGTAGGTCATTATGCCTAAACATTTTCTTCTTTCAATTTACTTTTATTCTATACATATGAGTGTTTTGTCTACAAGTATGTATGTGCACCACATGCATATTGTGCTCATGGAGGACAAAAGAGGAAGTCTGATCCCCTGAAACTGGAGTTACAGATGGTTGTGAGCCACCATATGAGTGCTGGGAACTGAACACAGGTCCTCTGAAAGAGCACTAAGTGCTTTTAACGACTGACCATTTCTCTAGCCCCATAGCTAAACATTTCTTCTTTCTTTAAATTTTTTATTGAATTTTTGTGTATTTCATACAGAAAACCATCTTTATACTCCTTCCCCCTTCTCCTCTGGCACCCTCCCACAGCTCCCCAACTGGAGTTCATATAGTCTGTCATTTGTGTTAAGGCTTATCATGTGAAATTATTATCATAAGATGTCCCTCAGTGCAAGTTCATCCACTGGAGTTCAATCACCCTATGTAGAGTCTCTCCAAGAAGATCAGCTCTTCCTCATCTAGCAGTTATCAGTTGCCAATAATTCTTCAACTAAGATTGGGGCCTGCTGTTCATTTCCACAGTTCTGTGCTGGGTTTTTGTCTGCCCTTGTCTACCTGAGTCTTGTAAATGCTGACACCATTGCTGTAGGTTCCTATGGGAAGGGTCCCAGGCACCTATAGGACCATTTCTGTATGTTCATGCACCTTCTCCCTGGCTCTTACAATCTTTCTGCACCCTCTTTCTCAATGGTCCCTGAACCCTAGGTGGGTGGACCGCATTACAGGATTCCTGTCCAAGGACCCACACTCTGTGGACTCTTATTCTATGTTTTGGCCATTTGTGGCCTTTTGTGTTCCTGGCCCTCAGTTGTATGAGGGAGCTTCATTAATGAGAATTGAAAGATGCATTAGTGTTCTTTTCAGCCCTTGTTCTATGTTCTATGAGTCTTAGGTGTAGAGATTGCATCCAGATGTGCCACTTGAGCTTGGGCAATTCACAGGAAATCTCTGTATGTGACCAGTGGTGTAACTCTGCAATAATCACTGTCTGTTGAAAAACAAACTACTTTGATGGGTGGTGACTGGGATATCTGTCTGTAAATTTAAGGATCCATATTATGCACATAGTAAGAAATTACATTTGCCTAGGGATATGAGAGCCTTGGAGTTTTCTCTAAGATCTATGACCTCTCCAGCTACGTATATTGTCTAGGTTTACAGTAAGTACCAAACATGAATTTTCTCCCATTGAGTGGGCTTTAAGTCCAATTAGGTATCTGTTGATTACCCCCAAGATAAAAGTGTCACTACTGCATCAATGTCATTTGCTGTGCTGGTCACTGATGTGGCTTTTAGGCCTTGATGCTAAAGTTGGACCATCAATCAATGTTCTCCATTACCAGCTTGTGTAGTGCTTTCTAAGTCTTGATATTTTTTACAGATTTTGCACTTGAGATTTTCCTGTGTTATTGTTTGCATTGTGAATCATTTATTTTTTTAATATATAGACTTTTTTTCTGTATTTCATACAGAACATCCCAAACAATCTTACTCATCTGTATACTCACATCCCAAATGGTACCCTCCCTTAGCCTCCCCCTTCCCCCATTGGAGTCCATATACTGTCATTCCTGTTACTGTCCACTGTGTTATCAGAGCCCCATGCAGTTACCCAGTGCAAGTCTATCCGCTGAGTCTAGTCAACCTATCTAGAGTTCCTTGTTTTAGGAAGATCAGCTCTTCCTCATCAAGCAGCAATCAGGTGCCAACATTCCTTTAGATGAGACTGGGATCTGCTGTTCATTTTCCCATTTCTATGCTGGGTTACTGTCTGGGAGTCTCTTGGGCCACTCTGGCCAATAACTCAAAGGACAGTATCGCCTGTCTGGCATTGTTTTTTGTTATGTAGACTTTAGCTATACAAATCAACTCTTAAAGAATTATACTGATCACTTTAATCTTTGGTTATACTTTCCTTTTGGGTGCTTAAGATCATACAGTTGGCCCAGATAAACCAATTTATTTTTACTCTTAAGGTCGTTTGAGGATCTGTTCCTCAGGGGTCACATGGGCTTGGGAGGAGCCCCTGGCTCCTATCTTTTACCAGTTCCATCTATGTGAAGATTCTTCGACCGTGGCTGGCTTCACTTGGAAGCATGAGGGGGGTGACCATGGCTGGCTTCACTTGGAAGCATTGAGGAAATGTTTCCTCTGTGTTGACCCTCCTCTTTGTAGAACACTGGTTCAAGTCTATCTTGTGGGGTCTCCACGGCCTCCTTGATCAAGAGGACAGGTGACTCACCACATTTACAGGACATTTTGAGAGATGCTCCACAGTCCCCTGGAACTTAGCTGACCTTGGAGGGCAAGAATCAAAACTGCCCTTGAAGTCCCTCTGACCAGATTAGTATAGGCCTCAAAGTATGGCTGTTAAACATCCATGAAGGTTAGTTCCACCAGTCTGGTACTTTTAAATTACCATGTGCTATG